TGCCGTGTACATTAGGCAACAGTATAACCTTGTGGTTAAGGCTTGGACTTTGGTGTCAGACAACCTGGCTTTGAGGCCTGGCTCTGCCACTCAAACTGAATGGCCTTGGGCAAGCAGCTTTGACCTCCCCGGGCCTCTGTTTCCGTATCGGTAAGTACTATTATTATTCCCATTACACAAACGAGGAACTATCTGTTGTTTAAATTAGAAAGAAGTCATTTCATATAGCTGAAATCAGTACTCTATTTAAAATTATTGTCACCTGGCTGGTGTGCCTCAGAGGTTGAGCAACAACCTATGAACCAGGAGTTCATGGTGCAATTCTGGTCAGGGCACAGGCCTGGGTTGCAGGCTTCATTCTCCCTGGGGATGTGCAGAAGGCAGCCAATCAGTGAAAGTACTATTATTATTCCCATTACACAAACGAGGAGCTATCTGTTGTTTAAATTAGAAAGAGGTCATTTCATATGGCTGAAATCAGTACTCTATTTAAAATTATTGTAACCTGGCTGGTGTGGCTCAGAGGTTGAGCACCAACCTATGAACCAGGAGTTCATGGTTCATTTCTGGTCTGGGGATGTGCAGAAGGCAGCCAATCAATGAACTCTCTCATCATCGATGTTTCTATCTCTTTCTCCCTCTCCCTTCCTCCCTGAAATATAGTGGGGCCTTGACTTACGAGTGTCCCGACTAACGAGTTTTTTGAGATACGAGCCGTCTCTCGGCCGATTTTTTGCTTTGAGTTCCGAGCTAAAATTCGGGTTACAAGCCAGCTTCAGATACCCCACCGCTAGTTGGCGCAGCGAACGTCACAGTGAACGCCACATCAGCCCAGCATCACGTGTCTCACTCGTTCACTTTTTGATTTGACATACGAGTAATTTGAGTTACGAGCTCCGTCACGGAACGAATTAAACTCATAAGTCAAGGCCCCACTGTACATAAAAATATGTTTAAAAATATAAAATTATTGTAAAAACAGTATAACACAATTCATTAGACTAGAGAGAAAAGGGGCACCCTGAATCCTGACACCCTAGTAAAGCAATAACTTTTCTCTATTCCCTTTCAGTTTCTCCTCATATTAGTAGCACCTCCAGAATAAATCCAGGCTAAGGCAGACTTCTGCAAGGGGGGTGCTTATTCGTTTTCCCCATCGAGACATCAGAGTCGACTCCAGTCCAGTGGAGTCTCCCGAGCCCAGGGGCCCAGTGTTGCTGCAGAGTTTTCCTGGTAGACATTTTTTAGGTGTTGACCATGACAGGTGCGGTCCAGTATCCACATCACATTTAACAGATCCTCAACCATTGGACATTTAAGTTGGTGCTGATTTTGCAACTATAAAGAATGATTTCATGAACATCTTTATGGCATAACTTTGTATTGCTTTTGCATTAGATATGAGTTCTCCAAGCAGGATTCCAGGTCAGGTAGTAAAAACATTTTTATGATTCTTTTTTAAAATCCCACAACAAGGCTTATTAATGATAGTAACAGAACAAATTTCAAACCAAGCTTAAATCACTCCTTCAAACAAACAAACAAACAAACAAGTCCTCATTTTCAGATGGCTACATTCCATAATAGCATTTACAATATTATCACTATTGTTCTTCAGGGCGTGGATTGACTTTGCTCTCGACACATGTGCTTGGGACATGAACAATTCTATGTCTTAACTCCCACACCGGTTTCATCAGCTTCTTCCTCTTCACTCTCCTCTAGACAGTTGGAGTCTGTGTTTTCTTGAATGTCTGAGACAGCTTCTCCTTGAACTTTGAATTTCTCAGCAGCTGTTAGCAGGACTTGCTGGGATAAATCCTCAATCTTGGCTTCCCCCCAAACTACGTGGGTATCTGAAGCTGGGCTCTTGTAGGCCTCTGGTTTTGTGAAGACAAAGAGGATATTCTTAGATTTCTGGATAGTGACCCTTAGAACCTCTGTAACCTCTTAAAGGCCCAGTTTGGACCCAGCCTTTCACGCCTTCTTTTCACTCTGGCTCTGTTTTGCTTTACCGACTGGTTCTTCATCGATTTCAGCAGCTGCCGGCGGGCTTGTTGTGTGGTTTGCCTGTGTGGAATCTTGTTCCTCGAGCTCTGGTCCTGATTCATACTGTCAGATTCTGTTCCACACCTGCCTCAGCCTGGGGCGGCGGCAGCCCCTGCTCTGTACCAAGATCTTATGATTTGGTGCAAGTTGTTAAATTGCTTTCCCAAAACGTCATACCACATAGCTCCCAGTCATTTATGAGTGACCTTTCACCCATATTAGATATTCTTCTATCAATTTTATAGTTAAGTGATTCCTTGTTATTGTTTTAGATGACTATTGACTCTGAACCATTAGTCATTTTTCTAGTTTATAAGTTCTTCTGTTGTGAGTTATTTCTTTAGATGCTTCTATAACCCAATGTTACTTTGTTGCTCAAATGTTTCAGCTTTGACCATTGGGAGCCCTTTCAGTTGGCTCCTGTGTCCCTTGATATTGCCTCATCATCTGGGTGTGTTTGGTTCTCTTAATAGACTATTTTTAGAGCAGTTTTAGGTTTACAGCAAAATTGAGCAGAAGGTAGAGATTTCTCATATGCTCCCTGCCCCTACACTTTCGTAGCCTTCCTTATTATCAACACCACCCACCAGAGAGCTACATTTATTACAATTATTTGAGTGTTTTTGTCTTCTATATGATTTTTTAAATTAATTTTTAGTAGTGTTTTGGGTGGGGGAGGGAGGGTAATAATGATTTTAACCTGTCTAGATGAAAACAACCAGATTGCCTACAAATAATGATATCATTAATATTTTTTTAATATATTTTATTGATTTTTTACAGAGAGGAAGGGAGAGAGATAGAGAGCTAGAAACATCGATGAGAGAGAAACAGCGATCAGCCGCCTCCTGCACACCCCTCACTGGGGATGTGCCCACAACCCAGGTACACGCCCTTGACCGGAATTGAACCCGGGACCCTTCAGTCCGCAAGCTGATGCTCTCTCCACTGAACCAAACCGGTTTCGGCCGATTTTTATCCTTTTTTATGTTGTTGATGTTCTTACTAAGTTTCTTGAAGTTCTCACTAAGTTCCTTGTGTATCCTGATAGCTATTGTTTTGAACTCTGTATCTGGTAGTTTGCTTGCTTCCATTTCATTTAGTTTTTTTTCCTGGGGATTTCTTCTGTTTTTTTTTTGTTTTGTTT